GTTCTTTTACACGCGGGAAAACACAGGGTTAATGAGAGAAAATAGTTTCCTAGTTACTAGTTGTAGAAAAAAAACTGGAAATTGATTCAAGAACTCCTGATACCCACATTATAGTGGCTGAACCTGCTTCCACCTCACAACAACTCTCCAAATATCGAAGTATATCAGGGTGCACACAACAAGAAAAAAAATTCCAAAATTGTACCTGAGTTAATTCTCAAATTCTTCTTTTGACTTAACGAAGTTTCCTTTGTGTATGATATGTGGTTTGAAAGGTCATCAAAATATAAATTTTGCAAAAAAGAAAAAAAAATACCAGCTGGCAAGCTTAGTCTAATAAGGACATTTGAAAACCATTTTTTTTTTTTTGAGGCAAGTTACATTCCAAATGTTCTTAAGAATCATTTTATGCTTGTAAAAAATAAGTAATTCTGTTATAAGCTATCTGCACGTATGTAAGCATATAATCTATTTATCTGAATCGACATATCTATACATCTTTTTTGTGATTTCAGATTAATGTGAGGGGACAAATGATTAGGTTACATTGTGTTTCTAAGGTAAAGTTCAAGTTGTAGTTGAGTCCTTCATCCAGGGGGTGTGCTGTGTACCCTTACATTATGGACCTTAACATATGATCTACAAACGAGGAAAAATCATTTCTTAGGATTCAGTTTACCATTTCTTGTTTGAGAAATATGGTAAAAATGAAAAAAGAGAAATTTAGTAAAAAGAAGGTGATAAAGTAAATTAGAACAATTTTTTATATGCTTATTGGGCAGATACTGAAATAGAAAGACCAAGTTCATTGCTTCATTTTTTAAAAAATATATAGTACCTAGAGGAATACAATTTCAAATTCTTAGAAAAAACATAGAATAATCATCCCTGTAGGCTATTATTTTAAAGGTATAATTTATTGATAAGATGGAATTTAAGATCTCAGATCTTCATATAAACTCTCTTTTATGATTCCAAAATAGTAACATATAATGAATAAGTCCTTTGGGAAACTGGATAAAAAATTGCCTTTAAATCATCTCCAAGTACTTCTTATACAAGCTATCTCTTCTTTTCTTATGAAAAAAATATGAACTTGGCTTCGCCTAAAATATTTTAAAGCAATCAAAAGGAGAATTTTGTTTCTAAAAGGCTAAAGTCTAAAAATAAAAATGAAGACAAAAATAACCAAACCAAATAATGTAAACCTTGAAAGCACCTATAATAAATATAGGAGATTACATAGAGCATTTACGTTTTATTTGTTCATGTCAAAACTTGGCAACTCTTCTAACATCATGTAGAGGAACAAACATAAATTACACATTTGCCATTTATACTACACCATGGTATATTATGATCGCAAGACATTTTCTTTCAAATACCGTGACATTTAAAAATACCTATTCAGTTATAATCAAAACAACATTATTTGAATAAGTCACACACTAAAATAGGAAACTAATCTGTTGAAGTTGAAACAAAATTCAGTGCTCGTATATTTTATGCGATTCTAAGTTGTAAATTTCAATATGCTCCTTGCTTTTCACAGGAAAATACTTGGAAGGTATGTAGATAAAACTTTATAACTTTATCACTTTGAGTGTGACCTTGAAATTGACTATAGTAATGACAAGGAAATTCGACATTTAAAAGCTAGGACTCAGACCTTAAAGGTAAATCCTCAGAAGTGCTCTGTAGACTTTCTGTTCATAAGGCATTTAGAATTGGAGATTTATTTGTATTTTAGGTTTTGAGAGGAAATTGTCAGCTGCTTCTTTGCTGCTTATATGGTGTCTTTTAGCATTTTTAACTGGCATTCCACCATAACATCAGAGAGTTATTCCTGTCTTTGCGGTATCAGAACCTGTCATGTGTCTGGAGTATAGCTGTATCCACCCTGCACATCAGGCCAGTTTGGTCCTTGACCCTCTTTTGCATGTTTTGCTGATTTTCCTGTTATTTTCTAGGTCTAAGCTCTCATGACTGTGTGGCTGAGAATGAATCTCCCATCCGCCCCATCTATTCCTCCTTTGGGTGTTGTCATTACTTGCAACGTGGCTTTTCATCTTCACAGGGATGTGATGCTTTTTGTAAATTATAGATACACACAGTTAAACGAGATTTCATTAGTCAGGCCAAGAACTGTATCTATATTGATTTCATACTTCCTTTATCTTCTTCTTTTTCCTATGGCATCCACGGAATGAGGACTTACGTATCCATTGAATGATTCATATCACAAGTATTTGGTGTGTGCTTATGCGCCAGGCTCTTGGAGAAGGCTGAGATTATTTAGTAATAACTAGTGAGTGACATCTGGAGGTCCCTTCTCTCATAGAGCTTCTTCTCTATCAGAAGAGAAACGAATTAACAAGCTTTAATAATCCATAGTGAACAAGGCTATGGCCAGAGATGAATAACAGGCTGAAAAAGAGCCAGGCAAGATTGTGGGGCTCGTCTAGAGGGGTCTTTACATCTAAAGGAGTGAAGTCTATACTGAAAACAGAATGACCAGCCTGGCTCTGTGCTAGAAACTCTAGGCCAATTGCTAGAAACTTGGGCATAGAGAGGGAAGTGAAATGAGATCTATGAGTATATCTGTCCTCTCCTCTTCAATATGGAGATATGTACTGGGCCATTACCATGCTGCCCTAGCCTATAGAGAGAGGTTTGAAGGATGGAATACTAAAGGGATTACCACATCAGTTTCAAATACTGCAAAGATTTTTTTTTTTTTAGTCTTCTCACTATTCTCCAGAATTAAGAATTAAATTAAGACCATTAAAGATTCTGAAGACAATCCTGATGCTCATTGTATGATTTTTGAAGAGACAGTATTTCATTCTGAACTCACAAAACATTCTAGTATAGTTCCAGACACATTACCCAGTACCGTGGATCAACTTGATTGCTGTCAATCAGCTGCTTCTCTGTAGAAATTCTTATTTTTTGGTGTCCCTATTTTCTGGTTCTAAAACAGGTGCTTAGTGGAGCCCTTCACTAGGTGCAGCTCTGATTTGAATATTTCTAGTGAGAGATAATCTAGTGCCTCCTCCTTTTAAAAATGTTAGACTCACTGAACGATGTATCAGATGGATCTAAATACCTCCCAGATGCCTTGTCTCTATATCAAATAACTGATTGTCATAAAGTCCAGTTTGACTCAAAGTACCCTTGCAACATGGTGTTACTTAAAACAAAACAGTGCTCTATAAATACCTAAAGCAGGATGGCACTCAGCAGCAGGGGAGCCCTGGAAAATTTCAAAACCACAGGTGTTCCACTCAAAGCAGTGACAGCCCCAAGCTGAGCCCTCATCTGGACTCTGACAAAAGCCTATTTTCTCGTCAGCTGAAGCTGCTAGGCTTTCAATAGAGCAGGCGGAAGGAGGCAAACCTGTAGCAAAATCGCCTTTCTTTGCATTTTAGAAATCCAATGTGTTCCTTCTAAGTTGGTGTCCAGTCTTCTTGTACTGCCAATTGCCAATTACTCAACAGCGGATGATCCAGCATGTGGGGTGACCAGGTCTCTTGCATTTACTTTAGCCTATCATATTTGCTGCCTGCTAGGAATCCCCCCAATCACTGCTGGGCAGGGGACGTTGTAACTCTAAGCTAGTGATTCTCGGTGCAAGGCTGTTTTACTCCAAAGGACATTTGGCAATGTCTGGAGATATTTTTGAATATTAAAACTTGGTGGTGGGGGGGTGCTACTGGCATCATATTGGGAGAGTCCAGGGATGCTACATATCATAGTAAGAGGCACAGGACAGTCCCCACAACCAAGAATTATCCAAGCCAAAACCTCAGTAATTCTGAGAAATTGTGTCCTAAGCCATGAAGCTGCTGAGAAAAATAACATAATAACTGTTAACAATGGGATCTTTGGCATCTGAGAGGGATTGATCCCATGCCTGGGCCCGGATTCTTCTTGCTTGTGTAAGCTTCTTGCCTAAGCCGTCCTTGACTGTCCACTAAAATGAAAATAGTAATAGGACATTATCGATGTTTTCCAGGAATAAGTGAAATAATGCTTACAAATTGCTTTGCTGTGCTTGTTGACCGTAAGCATTTAGAAATGGTACCTGTAACATCCGAAACAATATGTTAAGATACAACGTAACATATTTATATGATTTTATATTCTTCTTTCTTTGCCTGAGTCCTCCACCAAGTCTTGAAAATTATTTATATTTTTCTTTTACTCGTCAAGTCAGCATAGATCTATTCAGCATATATTGTGGTCTATGGACTTGCTAAGCACTGTGGAACTTTCACACCTGAGAATAATTTGCCCTTGACCATGAAGGAGAGTTCATGGTGGGAAAGCAGAGAAGCCACAACAGAAATAAAATAATTATACTTACAGGAGAGAACATAACAGCTACAGGAATTTTAATAGCTAAATAGGCAGAAAAGTTTATAAGGGCTGAGAATCAGGGATGGTAGGAGGTACGTGAATTAGTGTCAAAAGATGGGAAGTAAAGTTAAAGATGGGTGATGTTGTTCCCGACATCAAAGAAATAGAAGGAAATGGCAAACAAGTAGACGATGTTTTGTCATTATTTTGTAAAATTTTGTAATCAACATTTTGTAAACAAAGGTACATTTAACTGTAATTCTCATTTTCCCTATGTCTGGTGACTTTAGGGGCTGCTTTTGGGAGATCCTGTAACATAAAAGTAGGTGAGTGATGAGAACGAGAAGCAGATATGTATTACAAATAGTCGGAAAAGATAGTAAAGGATGAGGTTTGCTGAGCAAATAAATACAGACATGTATATGGATATATGTATACATGTGTGTACCTATCAACATATTATCTCAAATTCTTTAAAAAACAGGAAAGAGGGCGGCACCTGTGGCTCAAAAGA